TGCTGTTGCAGGACACCAGGTCACACCACCCCACTCAGAGGGCTGCCCAGGTTCTTTCTGGATGCCTCCAGTGTGGGGAGCCCCCCGCCTCTCCGGGCAGCTAGTTCACTGCATCGCTGTTCCACTGGTTTGTGCAACACACGGTCCCTACGGAGCCCCCCGCCCAGGCAGTTTGGCCTCTGGGGGCCTCCAGCCCCTGCCGTTCAGAGCGGGAGGTGGGGGCTGCCTGCTGGCTGGGCCGACGGGGGCCTCCAACCCACCGGTTCTGCTTCCTGCTTTTGCTTTGTTTCTTCAGCTTCCTTCCAAAGCTAAATAAGCTCGCTGCTCTGCCAGAACAGAACACTGTGTTTCCTTTCACATTTCCTGCCCGTGGAAACTTTTTTGTAGCCTCTGAGGGTGGTGTGCAAACAGAACAGCCCCCAAACAAAGCCAAGTGGAAGCTGCTAGAAACGGCTTTGTCTCGAGGGAGAGCGTGCTCCTCCGCGCGTCTGGCCTGCTGGTGGAAGGCTTCCGCCTTCCGTGTTTGCAGGTGCCTCGCCTTTCCTCCACTCGCCAGAGCACAAGGCCGCCTGTGCGCTCCCGCTCATTCGCACAACCCTGTGGGTGGCGGGCGAGGGACTGGCCCACCCCTCTAATCCCAGGGCGCTAGGAGGCCTTCCCACACCTCCGTGCACAAGTTGCTGGGGAGCATGGGAGCTGCTGCACTCACAAGGCGGGCCCTGGGCTGACTCAGCCAGTCTTCTCCAATGCCCTCACCTCCCACACCCATCTCTGCACACAGCTCCCTTCTTAATGAGGCACCTGCGTCCCTGCGGATCTCCCGGCAGGCTACTCCGCTTGGAGGCACCCCGCGGCCTGTCCGGGAAGGACCTCAGGCTGGGCCCCGGGGGCCCCGGGAGACCCCGAGGAAGCCACGCCGGGACTGCAGCGCATGCAGAGCCTGCGGGGAGCTTGCCGCTTAGCGAGCCCAGCCTGTGGGCCGGTGTCGGGGCCCTGCCGCCACCCCAAGAGCTTCTCTGGGGCAGAACTGGGTCTGGGGCTTTAAGAGCTCCGCCAGCACATCCTGGGAGACCGGCAGAATCGCTGCCTGCAGCCGTCGGGGGTGCAGAACTGAGCACTTGTGCCAGCCACACGGCAACAGGAGGCCCACCGCGCCCCCGCCCAGGGAGCCAGACCTGCGCACTGCCCTTCCTTTCCCCGCTGTGGCGCCCCCCGAGGACTCCGATGCCCCGTTTTGGGGGAAACCTCTCCAGGAGGCATCCCTTGCGGTGCCTCGGGCAGCCTCCCTCCTTGCCGAGGCCGCTCTCCTGGCGAGGCCCCCGTGTCGGGACGCCGACCGCGAGTTGCAGGGCAGGCGCTCGACCGTTTGCTCACGTGGGACTTGCAGAGCCAGCCCCTGGGAAGGACCGGCCTGGGCCCTGTGCGCAGACCTCAGCCCTCTCGCTTCTCTCACGTGCGCCGCATGCCCGGAGCCGAGCGCGACGGGCGCGGGGCACGTGCTGCTTGGCAGCGCTGCTTGCTCGGCTGCTCCCGGCCCACCGCTTCGCGTGTGGAAAGCAGAGCCCAGGCCCGCGAGTTGCTCCTCTGCAGCCGCGTCACATTCCGGGGCCACGGCAGGCAGGGTGACCCCAGGGACTCCAGCGTGCAAGGCAGGCCTGGAGCGGCCCGGAGGCGTGAAGGGGCCGGCCTGCTGACTGCGGGGAAACGCTCGCGGCCCGGAGGGGCCCCCCTCGGTCACTCGAGGGCCCGAGGGCCCAAGGACTGGGTTGGGCCCGTCAAGGCCGGTATTTGGGCTGCCGCACTGGCCAAAGTGGGAAGCTCAGAAGTGGGGCGTGAGCCAAGAACCACCCCCAGCTTCCTGTCCTCCTGCTCCCGCAGCCACGTGCCAGCAACCCCCCACTCGCCAGCCCCGCATGGGCAGGAGTGCGGCAGGGGCCCCGGGGCAGCCGCGCAGCGCGCACCGGGGCGCTCGGCTCGGGGGCTGCCATCAGGTGGAGTGCCTGGGGGAGCGGCGCCGCTTTTTGCCCTTCTGCCAAGGGGCGCTGCAGCCCTTCTGCACGACGACAGCTTAGCGTGTCATCCAGGTGCGATACAGGCCGAGCCATGCGGGGGGGGGGGGCTCCTAACCCTACTACAAGCCACGGCTCATTGTGGTGTATAAGCAAGCAAGAAAAATCACAGCACTCCGGAGGCGTCACCTGCGCAGGAAGCCATGAAATGGAACTTCGCGACCCACCCTGAGCATTTCCTCCGGCTTAGCCCTGAACGCCGGGCAGCCCTGCAAGCGCCGTGGAAGCCCCGGCCGGCTCGTGGAGAGACACGAGGAGCGAACGTGGGTTCCAGCGAGAACGAGTTTGTCAGTTTATCTCCACACAAGATAAACACCTGGGACCGAGCTTGGCCCGCAGCCAGGCCTCGCCTGGAGTCCGCGATAAAGGCCCGGGGTTGTTCGGTCCCTCCCCGGTTACTATCGGGGGAGAGTCACGGGGCCGTCCAGAGCACCGGCCCGCGGCACGTAGGCCTTCAGGAGAAGGAAACACAGGCAGCCGAGGAGGGCAGGATCCAGGTGGGGCAGGACGTGCTCGGCCTGCCGTTCCCTCAGCAGCCCTTGGCCCGAGAACAGAGCGCCACACGGAGACGCCAACGTGCGGCGTCAGGCCCTGCTTCCAAGCTGGCCCGCTCTGCACCTGCCGAACCACCTCTGCTGCAGGCTCTACACAGCCATGTTCGAGGTTTCCATAATTCAGTCATTTGGCAATTTGCTCTGCTTCTTCTGTGCTCGTGCTGCTTCAGCACAGAAAAGTTTAATAAACATAATTTGAAATCAATGCCTCTTTCCCCCTGCTATGCAGTTTATTCCGATTCTGTGAACTGTGGGAAAAGGCCCATTGCTCGTTCAGCACCGAACCTTGTGGTTTGGATGGGAGTACCAAGAAGACGCACCAGAAGCACGGAAGCCAATATTCCTGAAAGAGGAGTTCCCAGGATGGAGGAGGAACGTGCCCTCTCTGGCCCTCCGAACAGGCCAGCCGAGCGTTTGCGCAGGGCAGGGCGAAGCCATCTTGTCATGCCAGCTCCCACCCACAGAAACCGGGTGCCAGCAATTAGCCATCTGTCCAGAATGCCATCCGCTTGTGCACGAACAGGCGGCAGCTCGGGTGTCTCCGTGCACAAGCGGCCTGGAACAGTCCCCGCCGGCTCTGGGCATTCCTGGAAAGCATCTCCACGCTGCCTCTGGCCACGGGCCAGCAGAGGCTGCCCGTGCCGCAAAGCACCATGCTCGTGGTCAGCTTGCCACATGCCCACCCGGGCCCCCCACCCGCTCCAGGAGCGCCGCATCCCCAGGTAGATGTCCGGCCATCCCCCAGTCCAGGAAAGCGGGCGACAGCAGCGAGGGCTCTGGCCGGGGGCCCCACCCAGCCGAAGGGCGGCCAGGCCCTCTGTCCCTCACAGCAGCCCCCCGGCCAGGAGGAGCAGGGTGACCCCATCAGCTCCCCCAAAATAAAATGCCTCCATTTGCCTGCCTGCTGTGCCTTGATGAACTGGAAGCCTAAGGGCAGGAATGCCTTCCCCCAGCGATGCCACGCGAGGCGCGTTGGGAGACACATGGCCAGAGAAGCGTGGAAAAATGCCTCCGACCCACTGATGGATCAAGCAACGGATGGCTGGGGCTGGGAGAAATGAGAACCGGGGGGAAGTGTTCAACCCCCACTCGGCCAGGAGGCACACTGCAGGACCGGCCCAAATGAGGAGCCTCCCTCGCAGGGCTGTTGTGCAGACGAAGAGGGTGGACAGCCGTGTTCACCAAAGAGCGAGTCAACAGAGAGTAGCATTTGCGGGCCCAAAGACCACAGCTGGACTGGGATATTCCATCGCGCAGCTTTTAGAACCGGGTTAGATCCGCCGATCCTCAGACTGGCGGCTTCACTTGCATCCCGCGAACATGGAGCGCGTGGGAAAAGCCCTGCGGGATCGGGGCCCCGGCTGGCCTCGGCTGGCGCACTCCTCCGTGGCCAGCCACGGGCCTGTGGGTGCGGATGCCCACAAGCAGGCGTGGCAGCGCTGCTGGTGCACAGAGGGGCCGGGGCCACAGCAGGCCCGGAAGGAACATGTCCCCTTCTTTCCCCGAAATCTGCTGACGCCATTTGCCTGCCAGCACACGGGCGTGCAATCCTCTGACGTGAGCTCGCTCTGGGGCCGGCCAAGTTGGGCTCAGGTTTCCAGGAGCCGAGAGGGCTTCAAATGCCATCCATTCCCCCCCCACCCCCGCCATCGCACTGCCCCTCGTCCATCACGCTGGCGGCTCTTCCCCGACTGCTCAGAAATGCGACGTTCCACTGCTGGAAAGACAGGAAGACGGACGGGGCTTTGTCTGCACGGACGGATTGGTCCCCCCCCCCCCAAATTAGTAGACGACACATCTTTCTTAGTAATCCACATTCTGTGCTGACTGGTGGGGCGGGAAGAAGCAGAATTCTGCAGTTCTTAAAATGATGCAGGGTAATTTCATCTAATTTTTAGATGACTTCCAAAAATGTTGAATTAGAACACAGAAGCTTCCACCTGGTACACCAGCCGGCCTTCCTTCAGGCACTTCCTGTTTGTGTAGTGCTAAGGACTAAGAAATTGCAGATTTTAAAAATGAAAACTGTGGTTCATTTTGTTCTGCTTCTGCACTTCCACGAATTGTAGAACAGTCTTGCCCCATCAGCCTCTTTTCCACACAAGCTCCCTTGGCCTCTTTCCCATCCAGCCCTTCAGCCATGTTGCTTCTGATGTCCAACGTACAAAACGCCAGAGGAGCAACTGGGCCGCAGCCTTTGCTTTACCCAGATCCTGTGGGGGGGGGGGGTCCCCCCACCCAGGGCACACACTTCCCCACTGCCCTTCACAGAAATGGCCTGTGCCGAGTTTCTAGCGCTCACTGTTTCCTCCCAAGCTGCTAGGTATGTACAGAACACAGGAAGGCTCGAGAATCCCAAAAAACGAACCAAAGCACAGAAAAAATAAGGACCTTTTATTGCAGCCCAAGAAATTACACACCGATGTTCTCACACACACAAACTTTCAAACACAACTTTTTAAAAGAGTGTTCTGGGCAGGGAAAAAATGAGCCACGCCATGGAATGACAACACAAAGGGAAGGCCTCTGTTCTTCAGGGTTAGGGAAAAGTCCGTTTAATTCATGGCCCCCAAAACACTTCTTCCCCCAGCATTAAGACTGGGCAGCTTCCCCGCCAAAGACTGTGGGAGACACGACCTCTGGGATGACAAAGCTGCAAGAACTTGTCAGAGGCCCCAAGGAAAAAGCATTACTTCTGGGAAACAGCCGAGGCCGGCACTTTCACTTTCTTCTGCAGTTTTTCCCAGAAGCGCATTCCAAAGTCAAAGGCTCTAAAACCTCGCACGCCAGCCTGATGCACAGAGACCAGGGGAAACTGTCACCTGTTCAATCTCCCAACCAGGGGAAAAGCACACGGCCTTGGTCCCGACATGGCACTGCTCAGAAACCAGAAATAATTGCGTGGGCAAGACAGAGAACAGAAGCGAGGCGGCCTCCTCATTCAGCCCTGCCTCAAACTCCAGAGGTTCAAAGAACAGAAGTCCTATAATCCCCAGCAGGCCCGGCCAGCATGGGGGCCTTTTGCCATCTAGAAACACATGGTCAGTTCCTTTAAAAAAAGAAATCCATTTCTCATTAAACCTCCCGTGAAAATCTGGCATGGTACACCTGCTTATGGCAGCTTGGTATGGAAGAGCATTTCAGAAAACAGGTCCCAGTCACAGGCTCCAGAGCGTTGTGGGAGATTCTTGCCCATTCCTGGAAGATGCAGGCGACCCTCTTTCCCTGCCTCACCCCCACCCCGCTTTTCAAGAAGTGAAAAAGTGAGAGCTACCTGGAATTCAAAACTACCTCTCCTTTGCAAAACAAGAGCACCTTTGCTCCTGTGTTGCTCCAGGCAGACCAACCTGAGCGAGGGCAGGAGCGCTGTCGGTCAGGGGGCAGGAGGGGCTTGGCCACACACGGAGGGGGCAGCTCTCTGCCTCCACCCCCGGCTGAAGCACACGCAGCCTGTGCGTCCCCCGGGCCCCTGGAATGCGCCGGCTTCCTTTCCGTGCTGCACGGGAGCCACAGACCTCCTGCAGGGAGAAAGCCCGGCTTTGGTGCAGGAGCACATCCTTTCCGAGCGAACCACGTCCGGTCTTTCCAAGAGAGAGCGGCACCCGTGCGCTGGGTGGTTTCCCGAGGCTCGGGGCCAGTGCAGGGTGGATCTGTGATGCCCCCTAGTGGCTGACGGAGCCAGAGACCGGCGGAGTCGCTTGTGGGGCGGCCGGCCGGCAGGTGCAGAACGAGGCTGGGGGCCCCTCCTGCCAAGCAGAGCCAGCCGGACCCTCCCAAGGGCGGCAGAAAGGCGCCCCGAGCAGCGAGGCCCGGCGGCAGGAGAGACCTGTCCCCCGCACACGTCCTGCGTGGCCACTCCGCTCAGTAGATCGCCTCATCCATGTTGTCCTCGCTGTCGTCCCCAAAGTCTTCGCCATTGTCGAAGTAGGACATGATGTAGTCCGTCTCCTGTTGACGGGGGGGGGGGGGGGG